AAATTTAAAGTGTTCAATATTGTATATTTAATATATTGTATATTTAAAACACTTCACAGATACTTTTTTAATGTTTTTTTTTTCATCTTTTCGTATGTTTTTTCTAATCATTTGAATTGCTTCTATATAGAAATATTTCTTATTATTACAGTTTTTTAATTGTAAATTGCAAAATATTTTCTAATTAAAATATTTCGTGAAAATTTATCGATAAATGTACACAGGACTAATAGGAAATGAATCAGAAAAGCTCCACTACTGAGGTTTGCATTTTTCGCACATTTATATTGTCTTGAAGATTTTATAGAAATTTTAGTGAAAAGACGGAAAATTCAAAGCAAAATGTGCGAAGGTATAATACGGCAACATCTAACAAACAGCTTTGCGAACCCAGCTATAATGAGGCACAAACGCGTCGGACTTTACGCTCGACATTTCGCATTCGCACGGTTGTCGAGACATCGGAATTGGATCTTGAAACATATAGGCGAACCAGACGCGCTGAGACGAAAACGAGAGAACGAAGGAGGGAATGAGCAATTTATCTTTCCAATTCGGTTGATCGGAATCAGAAGAGGGTCTGTCTGATCACAAGAAGAGTGCCCTGATAGATTTAACGCGATGAAGATCGCGTACAGAACTATTACTAAGGATTCTGTTCGTGGTCTTTGTTCTTGCCATTCTACTTGCGCTGATTGAGGATCATTCGAAACGCGCTTGTGCCGGAGTCTCACGAATCCCATTGAAGGGGGAGAAGATCTCATGCCCGTTGTCTTTCTCTCTATATAGGGGCAAGAACAATCGTATGAAATTGTAAGAACGTCAGAACTTGACGAAGACGAAGAGCACGCTATGGAATATCGTGACAGTTCTCGGGAAGTGGCACGCAATCCCGTTAACAACTTATGGAGCTAATTACATAAAATATGGGATCGTTGCCGCTTTTTCATTTTATTGCAGCTGATTTTATTAAAACATTTTTCTCTAGTACATTTGAATTGATAAATTCAACGATACGACAAACTCAACGAAAGCTACGCAATATTATTTTCTGGAAAATGTCGTACAATCTCATTAAGATGTTACGGAATAACCTGATTATATAAGATATGATTCTACTGCTGTTTAATAGCTCAATATTAGCTGACTTTTTATTAAATTATTCTCCTCTGACGCATTTCAATGGAAAAATTGAGTTCTACGGAAAATCATAAGGCAAACGGTTTTAACAAAAGCGAGATATCTAATATACATATCCTAACGTAAGAGCATAAGGTGAAAACACATTTTATAAAATGAATAGGAAAAGTATAAAGTACAAACGTATTTTATAATTAATTAAGCCCTAATAATAATTTTTATGCAATTAAATATCTCAAAATATTCGCTTGTAATCTTTCGTCGTAGCTATTTTTCAGAATCACATACCTACATGATTTGTGCATGTATCGCTAAAATGCGTATAGAATATCCAGCTTAACCGCGCAATGGAAGTAATCCATAAAGGTAAATGTTTGCTTTTACAAATCGCAAATGTGATGATCATCTCACGTTTCTACTCTTTTTTTACAAGATAAATAAGAAGAGCAAATGCCAAGTAAAACGTTACAAATCCTTATCTCGCTTGCATCGTGTTTAAAGACCGTGTTACGTTTATGGTTTAAATATCATCGTCAAACTGCAATAAGAGATTTCAAATATACTTGGCTATTTCGGTATAAAAGGCTACCATGAGATTTCGCAAACAAAGGTGTATCTATATTGGCAAGTACTCGAAGAGAATATCCACCCCCCCCCCTCTGTCCTATTTTCTTCTATTTTCACACTTCTGAAAACAACGGCAATGTTACCGACTCTTGCTACGAGAATCCTCTGGGGTATTTATTTAACGTTCGATACTCAGATGCACCGTACTTATCACGCGGCACCAAAATGGAACGGTCAGGACAATGACAAAGGATACAGCTAGGTATCGCAAGTGAGGTCTTATTTGACGTGCACTCGCATTAAACTTGCTTCTATTATTCGTATTCCCCTGTGGTTCTCGTTATACTGCAATAACAAGGGCTTTTTGTAAAGTAAACACTGATGTTGCGTCGAATCGTGTGTATAATGTGGAATAGCAAATACGGTTAGATTGTGGCATCATAATCATAAAATTAAACGTAGCACGAAAGAAACGAGCGAAAAATACATTGTTTTATTATAAATCATAATTTTTATAATCCTAAAAATATTTCTTTTACATATTATACCACTTTTATAATATGATGATTCAATGATTTGAATCATCATATTATGTCGAATCGAAAAATTTATCCCTGTAGAATGATGTAATAAAAACATCATTTCTTATAATGTAATATTTAATATTGTATTAAAAAATCATATATATAGATATACGTACATTTACTACGCTACATATCATTTTTAAGACGTGCACATATATATGTTTATGAAATGTGTAGGATGTAAATCCAAGGTAAAATTTCACATAAAAACCCGCACCAGTAATCTCATATCGAACACGGTACTTTGGCGTCCACCCTACCGAAGTACGGTATCGCAAAAGTTCCCTATTATTTCCTCCGACAACCGTAAAAGGGCACGTTAAACGTCGCGTAAAACGTGGGATCTGAGAAAACGGCGCACAATTCGCGCTGGGATTGTTTGCAGTTTGCGGTCGCGCGTTGAAATACACGCGGGTTAGCCGCGACGGAAGGGCAATTTACACAAACTTCATCGTCGGTCGTAGCGCGTCGAAAGGGATCGAAAAGGAACATATGTATTTGCATTCTTGCCGTGCAGCACGGCGGAAGTTGCCAATAGATTTTTTCGCTTAGCGAGACAAATGGTCGATTTGTCGAGCAACGTTATGTATAGAACGGCCATTGTGTTCCGGTGCACAAAAGCCAAACGGTATTACGTGGTACATGAATGACTTCGGCGTTGTTGTAAAAATTACACTGCATCTACATTAGCGCGTATTGATCTGATAGCCGATAAGGCTGATTTATTTTACGAACGTAAAATGTACTGACACATGTGTGGTGTGAAAAGAAAAATTTTTCACACAATTATTCTTTAGCTCTAAAGTGAATACTTTTTTTCTTTCTATTAGATTATTGTAGAAATAAAATTAGATAAATTTTCTCCGTGCAAATTATGCAAACTTTAAAAATAGATAAAATAACTTATTTCTCAAATTTTATAATAAATATGTATAATTTATATGTATAATATGCAAACACGGAATAATTAAAGAATAGACTTAAAAACGTGTTTAAAATACAACTGTAGGCACTATTCCAGAATTAACAAATTAAAGATTATTACTGTCGCAATTAAATAAATTTATTAACTCTATAGAAATAACGAGGAGGGAAAAAACTAGATTATCTCCGCTTAAAGTAAATGCGATCTCTCCCTCCCTCCCCCCCCCCCTCCTCTCTCTCGCATAATTTTAATATATTTGCATGTTAAAATGCAAAAATTCGAATATTTACAATGCATATTAATTATCCAGGGAAAAAATTAATAGATTAGATAAAACGTATACAAATGCTCTTATAAAAAGCGTATTATTTTCAGCTAAAATCCGATTAAATATTATCAATAATCAGAGAAGAGAACTTTTCCACGATACAAAGTTATAATAACTCTGTTGTCGAAATCAATTATTACTTTCAGCTTATATGATAAAAAACGATCAGTTTTAATATCAAATCAATTAAATACCGATATTTAAAAGTGACAATCACATTTATTACAATACACACTTGATAATAAAGTAAATCATATTTTAAGTCAAGCTGCTAAAATCGCCGTCGGAATTCAGAGATCAAGATTTAACAAGTACTTGTACAAGTACATATTCATGACATTTTTAAATATATCATTCGTAATAAAATATATTATGTACATAATGAACACATATAGATTATAAAAACTCGCGTTGCGCGTATAAAGTTACGTGAAATGTTAGAGCCAAAAAAAAATCACCTGATTAAAATACTAAACTCAATGAAATATTGCGAAATACTTAGCGATTTATGAAGTGGCAGTACTGTTATTTAACAGAAGTTATGCGATGTGTCCGAAACTTATATATATTTTATCGTTCCGGCGGAAGAATTCGAGATGGCATGTAGAGACTTCCGTTCAATCTCGGAAGCGTGTCGAGAATGTGTCTACCAAAGTGCATGCTTTCTCGTGTATGAAGTGTTATAAAATACGTCGTTTTATTTACGACATTCCTATATGTCAGATGTCACTCGTCGTACGAAAAGTCCGTATCTGGTCATCCGTACGAAAATCGAAGCGCTATAGCTCCGATTGTTTTCGGCTCACGCCCTGAATTATTCGATAAAAAAGGGGGAGTAATCCGAGTGATCTCTTTAAAATTAGAAGATACAGATAGAAGGCGGAAAAAAATGAGAATGTGTTGACATACTAAAAAAAGAAATACATTTCTGCAAACCTTCACGTAGAAGATTGTAGAAAGGATTTTAGTAAAACCCGGATAAACTTGCACACTCACATTTCTGATCCTTTCGAAATTTAATGCATATAGACATGTAGCTAAAAAGAAGAGAAATCCCCAGGAGATTCAGGACTTTAACCTAATCCACTTTCGATTGTTTTCAGTATACAGATATTTCTTTTTTGACAAAGAGAAAGATTTTCTCAAGAATTCTCAACTCCCTGATTTACACCTATAACTCGCGACTCTATATAATATAAAGCTGAAAGGAAAATTTAGTTGGCTAGTCGATAAACGGCAGATCATTAAAAGAGCGTCTTAATTTCCAGGTCGCTAAAGATCCTTTCAGAATTTTTCCTTTCTTTATCAACAAGAAACTTACGTACCAAATTCCAGGAGCAAACTTCTCAAAAATTTATTCAAGAGTTCAAAGAGTTGATGGAAAAGTTCCCGAAGCTAAATCATTCTCGGCAATTTTGAACTTTTACTAATCAAGTTTGTTTCTTTTCCTCGACAGGCGACGTGATAGACATTCTGACACTTATAAACTCGGCCATCAACTTCATCCTGTACTGCGCCATGAGCCGACAATTCCGAAAGACCTTCAATCAGCTGTTCTGCAACCGATGGCGATTAATCGGCAGGTGGATGGCAGTGCCGCATCAGCCGATGGATAACAACGGACACACCGGGACCAATCACACGGTGACCCAGGTCACCCAGGTCTAGCGAAGAAATCGACGGACCTTTTGCTATCCGGTGTAAAGAGCTCACTGATTAGCTTCCTTTTAGACACGTGCATCACAAGTCCGGGAGAATAGAAAGGGGATATTTCCTCCGTGATTCTCCGTCCGCCAACGTGGCGGTAAGCAAAGAGAAGTGAAATTTATTTGCTCGCTACTGCCACCGGTCTTAATTGCATCGTCGTTGCGAACTTTACAACGCCCGGGGCGTCTTCAAGCGCCGGCTTCGCCGTCCCCGGACATACGACACACCAGATGTGTAACAAATATTTGTTTAAGTTAGCTGGCGAGTCGTTATGTTTTTTCAACATGTTCCTTTACAATTTTGCTTCAGTGTTACTTAGTTACATTGCAGCGCGTCTGACTGCCGTCAAATCGACGATACGCACAATTATACTTAAAAGCAAATGTTGTGATAGTTACGCGAAAAAGCTTACGAGCTCTGTCAGATTATTGTCAATAACTTTGTAATGTCAAGTACTTAAGATATCTTTATTTAAAAAATGGCAGTAATAGTAGTTTTAAGGGTCCATTCTACCTTGCGACCCGAAAAAGAAGACGATCTTTGGGAATTTTTGCGGGAAAAGTGATCAAAGTCATATACTTTATTGTTTTTACATCTTATTTGTTGTAATTTTCTCTTTAATTTGTAATTTTTTGTACAAATTAGGCTTCTTTACTGGGACTTTGCATAGACTTATAAAAGAAGCCTTTCCGACTTGAACATGGTGCCATGGTGGAAGTACTGCAGGTCGCATCAGTCATCTAAAACAGTCACGTAAAAACCAACGATTTTCCTGTTCAAAAAGAATGTCTCTATGGAATTGACTACGATAATTGATCTTGCATGAAAATTAATAAAATGGCGGCCATTTGAAAAAAAAGTTCGATTTTTTGCCTTAAATTTTGCTCTTATTTTTGCGATAAGAAAAAAAGTATTATTGATATTGATATAATCATAGTCTAATTCTATAGAGATATTCTTTTTGAACAGGAAAATCGTTGGTTTAACTATTTCAGATGACTAATGCAACCTACAGTACTTCTTCCATGACGCCATGTTCAAGTCGGAAAAGCTTTTTCACCGGAACTTTGCATAGACTTATAGCAAATTGACTTTAAAACATTACAAATTAAAGAGAAAAGCACAAATAAAATGTAAAAACAATGAAGTGTGATTTTGATCACACATTTTTTTTCTTTTTCGAGCCACAAGGTAGAATGGACCCTTAAATTTATTACGTGAATAGTGATCATTATTTATAGTTTCTTATACAGAGACTCATTAGAAATTTTTAATTATAGCAAAACGTGCCAAAATTAAAAAATTGTACATTATTTCGCAACAAGAGTTTCCTCATAATATTATTTTCAAATTTACGTTAAATAATCATAAAATAGAAAATTATCTCTTAATTCGCATTCTTACGATAAAGAAATATATTTATCAAAAAATTTCTTTATTATTATACTTCCAATTTTTATTAACTCTTTTTTGCGCTCCAATATCCATTTGTGCTGTGAAAATAATCAGTCTATATATATTATATTTTTGTTCATTCTGACATTTACTCATATATTCCCACATTCTTTGATTGGTTATTTGATAGGAATTCATATTAATAATTCATATTAATAATAATATTGATCCTATGTGCTAACAATTTACATCATAATCAATATTAACAGTAATTAAAATTATTATGCTTTGCCAATTGAATTGTTAACAGCACGGCCTAATTGAAATATAAGAAGTGCGCCTATTAAACTGACAAGTTTAAATTGCGCAAAATTTGCAGACAAAGATCATTACGATGCAACGCGCGAGCTGCATTATGCAGCATAATTTTCTACGGGAAATAGAACATAACTAACTTAACTGCGTCGTAAACAGTTAACCAAAGGCGTCATGCTTCTTCAGAAAATGCAGCAGTAGCAAAACGTTTAAATAGTTTAGATTCTCTCAATATAGATGTAGTGGCGCAACATGATGACATTCGAATGCCAACTTTCGAGTTGTCTATTTTATTGCTAGAGATTAAAAAAATTTTTTTCTTAAAAATTAAAATAAGATCTCAAAAAGTATCAATATTTTTGTAATAATTGAAAACATGCTTTTCATTCATTTATCTCGGCTCTCGTTTGTAATATATTTTTCTTTCTTTGCAAAAATGTGTTTTAATTATTGTAAAATATTGTTTCTCAAAATAATATTTTTAATAGATTTCATATAAAGGCATTACGTAATATTTCCTTTAATTTAAAAAGAAAATTATATTGTCTATTATATTTACATATATTTAATATTCTATTTATGAAGTATCTGCAACTACAAATGTTGTATATTTATTAGCTAGGAAGTCCATAGACACAAAATGATAAATAATAAATATAAATAATAAATTAGTTTTTCATGCAAATCGACATAAAGGATTAAGAGCAAAAAGTAGAATAATTGAATACTTCTAATTACACATGAATTAATGCAAAAGTTGACATACTGTTTTTACCCATTCGCGGACCAGATAAACGACTTTATCATGGAATTATTCGAAAGCTGCGCTGTGAAAACGAGCGCAGTGATTAACATAATTAACAATGCAATGCGAGATGTAGAATTTACGTTGTCCAAAGGACAGTCTTGCTTTGCGATTCACATTTATGCAGTTGAATATTAAAAAAAAAATTTCCTCGATGCAACTTCTTCTTCTTCTTTCGCTCAAGTTAAATGCAAATTACATTCACAATTTGCATTTTACCCTTAAAAGGTAACAAAAAACCAAACTATTTCACTCTGAAATGCTATTTGCACCTTTTTTAAAACTTTTGGCGAAAAACTTTTGGCAAGAGACCTTATTATAATTAAAATATTAATTTTCCAGTCACAATCGCAACATGGTCGGTACAACAATGGTTTTTATTAATAATTAGTATTTGAATTACTATTATTGTAAATTTTACTCGGAAACAACAAACCTGTTCCATACAACTTTATTATGCTTTTTTGCAATTTGCTAATATTATAGTATTTTCTACAAATTCCGTAAATATGTTCCAAAATATGTTGCAATTTATTTTTATATATAAATGTTAAAATGTTATATTTAACAGATTTCTTATAAAGCCACCTTAATTTTTTGGCCTTTTTATTCAAGATTTTAATGACGTTAAAAACGCAACACGGAAAATATCACTTGTTTTCATGTCTCTTTCTTTTGAAAGCGCTCTTTCGAAATGATTTTGCATCTGAAAACGTTTCATGCATATTTCAATTAAAAACTCTTGCCGGACAATAAATTAAACTATTTGATCACATTTCTTGTAAACTTTAATTTTTTGGCCCTTTCATTCGAGACTTTAATGACGTTAAAAACGCAATCACAGAAAATATCGCTCGTTTTCATGTTTCCTTTTTTTTGAAAGCGCTCTTTCAAAATGATTTTGCGTCTGGAAACATTTCACATTTCGATTAAAAACTCTTGCCGGATGACAATAACAAATCGGACTATTTGATCACATTTTGCAAAGCGAAGCTTTTAAATCTCAGCGCGTTATTAAAATTCGAAATATCAAACGTCCGTTCGGAGAACAAGTATGAAAAAACGTGGCATCCGTTCTTGATTTCAGAAGCGCGCGGCATACGGGCAATAATCGAATTGTCGCGTTTTCAATCTCGCGCTTGCGTTTATTGCACGTTCAACGCGCTCGATACCCTTATCGATCGCGCGAGAGACCGCAAAAGGGAGACGGATTACGAAATAAAAATCCGAGGATTGCGTCACCGCAATAAATTAGAGCTTCCTTAAATCACTCCGTCTGTCCGATAAAGCACTCTTAGACCAAATCGCAGCAATTACTGAGCGACGCGGGGAATTGTCACGATTAATCGCTACCTTCCATTTGTGGCAAAACTTTATCGTCTTGTATAAAATCGCTGTGTAAGTCGCACGAACGCATAAAGTTTCCCAGCGGAGTTGAATTTTTATTTGCATCCGCCCACAAGCGGGTTCGATAAATTGTCGCGAGTAATTGCGGATTCTATCTCTATGGACCTTTCCCATCTCTCCAACGTTAATTTTTTATACTGCATTTGTTTAAGATTAGCAGTAGAGTTAAGAGAGACATCAGATTAGTTGCGCAAATATTCATATACTTTTATTTTCAGTTTCACAATTATTTTAATAATGCCTTAGCACTTATTCCATTATGATGTGTTTTCTAATTATATAATTTTTTCACACGTATATTTATTGATATTCGTAAAAATATATAAATTACATAATTTATTTTTTATTTCTACTAGATTTTTAGATCTCTGTAATGTATTTTGTAATAGATAGAAAGAAAGAAAGAATTTATTTATATAATAATAAATTTAATCAAGTGTTTTTAATTAACAGAATATACATATCTAGATATTGAAGCGCAAACATTTCAATACTTGTTTATTTTTAAAATTTATTAAATTATCAATCTGTTGTCATAAATCTGGAAAAAATAGAAAATATATTTTTTAAGATTGTGAAGAGATAGTTTTATATACGATAAATTGTGATAAAGATATAAAACTTAAGATCAAATCATGAAAATTAATAATTTTAGACGTTTTAAGCAAAATTATGTACAATTTTTTAATTTCTTTCAACTCACAAGCTAATTAATCATTTAAAATACGAGTAATTTTTTCATTTCAATAAAAAAAACCTACTTGAATTAAGAAATGATCTATTATATTTAGCGAAATGGCTGGAGCAAATCTTCTTATGAGATAAGTAATGTCCTCGTTTAGTCGAAATGAGTTATACGATAAGTATGATATCAAGCTTCCCTCTTCACGTTGGCATGATAGAACAGAAACATTATCCCTATACGCAATCTTGTGCTATTAGACGACTTTAGGCGCTGCAAGTAATGTTTTCCTTCCGTGATAGAGATTCATCAAAGAAACAGCAAATATGCTTGTTATACAAACAAAAAAGATCAATGCTGATATCGTCCTACGATGAATGTGTTACGTGTTGTTTGTAGCGGATAGCAAAACGTTCGTTGATTCCTTTGCGAAAGGAGTCGATAGAAACTGATAATATAATTAATAAAGATTGCAGTTTGTCGATCGATACGTTAAGTGATCTTCGTATCTGAAATGCGTTATAAACTATACTACTTTTGGAAAAATCTATAAATACGTTACATTTGTTTAAAGAAACATGTTTTGTACTAAGAAAGTGACGTTAGGTTGGAAGCCAATTACGAGGATCAATTGGGAGATTCGTGTTTCTCGAAGCCTTTTGACAACGTTAACAAAGGCAAGCGCTTCCTTCCCACTTTGAAAGACGTCGTTGATCTCCCAATACTTCGTTTCGCGTTACTCAAAAGCGAAACTATACCGTATATATATATATATACATATATATAAGGTATATATAAATACAAAACGTGGAATTTCGAGGAAAATGCGGGACAAAGTAGAATAAATAAGTGAGGATGACAAAGGACTGACATTGTGAAAAATATTCATGTGAGTCTTTCTATTTTAAGGTAAGGCATGATAAAATATTTGTTAAAGTCTCCTGTCAAACTGTCCAACCTAACATCATAAATATTTATTAAACTTGAAAATGTACGTTCGAGTTTTTTATTATCATAATTTTAATATTTTGCTTGAT